CCATTTTGTTCTGAACGATTTCAAGAACTTGATTGAACACAATCTTGAATTAATGCACCCCCCCCCCACATTCTTCTATAATTCTTTCGTAGTCTGCCCGCACTACCACTCCGCAACTGGATATATTTTTTGGCCTTCCATTCGAATATTACATAAGATGTCTGGCCTATCGGAGAGCACATTTTTATGATTTCATCTATATTTAATCGCGTCTCTTGCAGTCGCGCGATCGGTTCATTCAAAATATTCAAAGTTCTGGTGACGGCAACTTGCCTGACTTCACCTTTCAGGGACTGACAGCTCATGGTGACAATATTTAGCTTCTTACGTAGCCAAAGCAAGCTCTGTGATGGCCTTCAAAACAGCCGTTGAATTTGGACAGAATGAAGGCTTGCAGTAACAGTGAACAGTGTTTGTGCGTCTGAAAGTGCAGTCAATAGTCGGTGTCCGGCCATCTACACCAGGTAGTTGCTGATATCTGGTCTTTAGCATCACGACTGTATATTTATATCACAATAATAATCCAGGAGTTACAAGTGGAGGCGATCAGAGTCAGAGACGTAGCCCCTTCCCCAACGTCATAAAGTACAGTAGAAACAACTATTCATGTTTCTCCCCAGATACCGAACGAAAAACTTGTATACTAAAGTCATCACAGCTCCAAATGCCATTCTATGAAAAAAGTTACTACCTAAAATGAGGGGAAAATCAGTGTCTGTAACTGTATCAGGTGCACGAAAGTAAGTTAATGTTATTTGCCAACAGATATTTATAGGTTTAATGGTTTTCACACGGCCTTAGTAAGTAAAGTACAAATGAAATAAAGAGCACGAATATGAATCTTACGTGATTTCCGCCAACCGATGATATCGTGTAGGAGTCGGCTGAAACAAACTGTCCGACCATCGACTGGCCACCGCCGCGTGACTCTTGGAACTCCACCTCAGAAACGATCGCATTCTCTTCCAAGACTGTGCCACAATTCTTGCAGACCGTGTCGCCCCTTGCCGGGTCTTTGTCGAGATCGCTGCTACTGCAGTGCTTGCAAACATGTATCGGCATTTTGGCAGAAACGTTATCTACCACAAACGAACGACTTTGATCACGTTTGCCGGTTGACTAGGTCTGGAATAAGTAGTTATAAGTAATCTTACTTTTCTACAAAAGCATCATAATAAAGTTACAATGGCAACGGCAACTTGGTAGTGAGCCTGTGTGATTCAAAGAATCTCATTATCCCAATTAGAACGTTGGCTTCCGGTACGATCATAGAATGAGAAACAAATCTGAAGCAAGACGCGACAAGTGGCGATCAATTGAGACTGTAACATGCATTTGAACTATTCATTTTGGAGAGCATATCAAAACCAAAATCAAAATCACACGTCGTATGCTGCATCGGCAGATATTCACGATTTTCTAACAAACAGAGCCACGGAGCAGATTTATAAACAAGATCTATATCGTCAAGTGTGATACAGCGCATCGTGGAGTTGCTAAAGAAGAACAACGGTGGAGGTTTATCTGAAAAAACGGTGATGAGCCATGACATTGTACCACGCCTGACTATTATAATAACGGAAAGAACGAGCAATGTATATGAAGCTGAACTCCATGCGGAAGAACGTTTTTGAAGTCTCCAAAACTTCCTCACAGGCCCTACAATAATCAACAAAAGTTGCTGTCCGCTTAAATTAGCACGGCCAACATGACCGTGTGTTGGAAGAAGTCAGTGTTAGTATGAAACTGAGACGATCCGAATAAAAACAAATTTTCCAGCAAGGCATACTCACTTGGTCATCATCGGTTCTGCATAACACTGAATCCAATATTTATTTAGTTATTGCGCTGTGCCACATTCTAGCTGTCACTCAAACCATAGAAGCAGCACCTTCCTTACACAGTCGGTATTTTTAGTCAGCATATGTAACGGTTCTATGATAAACAGTCCGACGTTTCTTCTCTGCTTATCAACAGAAATGACATTCGTCGAACAAAATCAGATCATACACCGACAAATCTTTCTAGAAATGTCAAAAAGTTTATTTCTTCGATAATATCAGGAGGAAAATTGTTAGATAAAATGTGTTTATAGCATATCCAGCAATATGGCTATACCTGTCCTGTCTATTGGCAAAACATCCTCTGCATGAGAGAATATGAAATAAAACTATTAACCATTAAGTTTGTTATTATATTAATGTCTGTGATCACTTTTCGTGAAATGCTAAAGCAACCCATATAAATAAGAAAAACATCGCTATGATTAAGCATGGTCACTAATCAGTCCATAAACAAGTTGTGGTGTGCTGGACAGCACTTAACAAGTCTGGTTCAATTTCCGGAGGTGCTTGATACGATTCCGCTCGAGGGCAATCTCTGTCTTATTTACGAATTCCCTTGAGCAGGAAACCTGCCATACATTGCTTTAGTTCGTGGTTGCTTAGTCAGTAAAGCGTCGAACTCAGAATCAATAGGTTCGCAGTTCAAGCCCTGGTCAGATTCACTCGCCCTTCCTCCTTTCGAGTGTGATAATTGAGCCACACTGTGGAACAGAAACAGGACACTATACGTTATGCTTGCCACGTGTCTGTAGACCCGTACTTTAAAAATAAGGCATTTCTGGATGATGCCCCAAAATGGAGATCAACGCATACCAAAACGAAGGGCACCAAAGAGGCCCAACGATGAAAGTGAAATACCAAGATTTCAACGGTGACAAACGTTCCTTTCCTAATAAAACACTTATAAAACAAAGCGACATTATGCACAGAAAACTCCATAAGAATCGCTATTTCTTTCGGCACCTTTTACACGAAGGTCTGCTACTAAGTAAAGAGTTATTCAAAAGAACGACTGATTCAAGTTTGCATGCCATAACTGTCAAAAGATACCGCTGCCTAGCTGTACCTGAGATCACCATACGCACTAAACATAGAAATATATTAATTCCCATTTTAGGGACTCTAATCACCTAGAGAACCATTTTACTCATAGAGCACTGAGGTGTCAGTGTGGACGTAATTGCTAATCACAGCTAATTCAACTAAATGAATTGCAAAGTTTTTTACTTTATGACGACAGATCGACTATGATCTCAGCATATCAAAAACAAAGCTAATTATCATACGTTGTCTTGATATAAAAAATATCTGTAATTTACAAATTAACCTATCGGATCTGTCAGCAGGTGCAAAACTAATATTGAATACAACTGTCCACTACAAAACATTAACAGCTTGACTAACTTGCACGAACATAAACAGGCCTTAGGGCTTTTAAGGTAATAAACGAAGTCATTTCGGTTTGCGGCTCATACATCGGCAACGCATGGTTACATGTCGCAGTTGCTCATTTTTTTGTAGCACCGTTAAAAATGCAATCCTGCTCCTATATTTAAATAGTATCGTTTATTTACTTGTCATGTATAGAAATTTTCATAGAGATATGTTGTTGATACTCAAAATTCAAATTATCATATTTCCAAGACTATCAAGCCCTAGGTTTATAGATTAAACATTATCATGAGTCATGAGCTGCACCTAATGCTATAGTTGATTTACAAGCACCGTTAGCGCTTTGCCCGTAAGTACATATAAAGAAACCAAAAAATACGAAAGTGTTTTATCAAAGTGAAGAAAGTGTTTTATCATTACAAATGATTTATTTGCAAACTAATACCATCGTGCAAACACACTAGAAACAATAGCAATGGTAGTGCTTTATCCATGAGAAAGATGAGTACTTTATCGGAAATTATTAAAAGCATCAATAAACTCAGTTTAGCTGCTTGTATATATGGTATAGAGCAATTAGGATATATTTGCTGTGAAATTTCGCATCTGCCTTCAATCCAGTTATCAGAACCTGAAATAAATTTTATTTTGTCCTTTCGGACTTTCTAGCACAACTAAAAAGCTAACTTTGCGCGTTGTAAATTCATCGGTGTAAATAGTCTTTAGTTTCTACCGTGCATCTTTAGTGTAAATAGTCTAAATAGTCTTTAGTTTCATACCGTGCAGAAACGAAAACTATCGTCATCGTTCAGCCGGATAGTTATTACAAGTGGAACTGATCATGGATCAGAGTTAGTCTCAGGTTAACCCCGAACAAGATACCGCTAGTTTCCAAACTTACACGGCAAAAATGCGAATACAAGTTTAACAAACTCTTCATCGCTATAATCACAAATGGGCTTTCTCTGCAAATGTTTGCGCGACATTTCGGACAGCAATGGATCACCGCAGGAACTTTATCATACAGAGAATATTATCAAATTAAAACGATTTCTTTAAGCGCTCAAACTTTAGCAATCTAATAAAGTACTCAAAGTTCAATAGTACTGCGATATATAATGGAAATTCAGTCTCAGAGGCAGGAAGCGATGAGCGTATGAAATGCATTTACGGGGACAAATTCGGCGAAAACAGATGCACATATATATATGATAACAAAAGATTTAACAATAATTTCAAAGAAACGTCAGTTTAAAATACGCAGTCTTGGCAAATAATAAATGAGAGCACAAATGTAGTACGGAAAAGTTGGTTTGCGCATTTAATGTCCATTTTGAATTTAGATTTACAGTATAGTTTAATGATTTTCCAGTTCAAAGACTTCTGCGCATTGTGCAATCAATACTTATATACACATAATTATATCTCGAATAATCACTTATTACATACGAATTAAAAATGCTCTGAAGCTAATACAAAATAATACTCATTAGCATCTTGTACATAAGATTAGCAACCTTTAATTTCGAATACTTTTTGCACATCAAGCAGTCAATTGTTATATACACGTTATTACTTTATCGCTAAGTCATTGATTACATATGAATCAAATGATGCCTTGAGGCTAACACGTAATAACGCTCCTCCGCGTTTTATACATGAGATTGACAGTGTTCGTTTGCATATAGTTACGTATGAGTGCAATGGCTCGGATAAAGCGGAGCTTCTTAGTCGTCAAGAATTATTCTCTATCCGAGTAATTTCCAATCGATTCCATGTGTTTACAGGCATGCATGCAGCTTGTTCGGTTGGATTCGATCATAGGTTTCCCAGAAGCCAACAGATTGCAACGACTAACTCTAACGATTTATCGACATTCGGGGTTGAGATCCAGATATTGTAGGAGATGCTTCTGCCTACCATTAACCGAAACTGCTCTCTGGCATGCAGCGGTCAACTATTCGGGGTACCTTTTTCCCTAAACTTTTTCTGAAGATCCAGTAAAATAATGCCTGATAATTTGAGTAGTCACTATGACCTCCCTTTCTGAACAAGGATGCCACCATCATTGCTCTTCAGCTTAGCGGTGTCTTCCTTTATTTATTGCAACTTGACGGATATGTCAGCCACAGCATGCTCTGTTGACCTTATGTACCTTCTTATCTTACCTTGCTTTAAAGATCTTATGTCGGATTTCATTTCTTCTCGGAGCGATCCACTTGCAAAGCATTCTACAGTTTCATTGACTTTTGCTTCTGAAACACTAATATCCGTTGCCTACTGGACGTGAGTTGAATCTTCCTGTAGTTACTCATGAACAGGACTCTTGTCTAAACATTCTCACCCTTGCCTCATTGCCGAAGTATATTCTTCTCCCTATAAAGAAAGCATGCACTGTTGCCATTCGGAACACCCAGATTGCCGTTCTTTTCATTGAGGAGGTGGTGGAAGGTCTGCAAGAGTAATTTGTTTGTCGTCTGAAAATTTGACTCCACTGCATCATCGAACTTTTTCTGGAGAATCTCCTTTCACTTGGTAACTGTCTATGCCACTTCCTGTACGCTCATTCTTACGCATACGAGTTGAAAACTCTATGCTGACAGGCTAACTCCGAATTGTAACCTTCTTTATGCTGACAGCCAGTTGAACCTCTGATATTCATCAGAAATGATCGCTTCTGACCCAGAGGCGCCAAGCAAAGCCCTTCATACCTCAACCTCTGGCGAAAGCAGTAAGAGCTGCTTTTAAAGAGACCCTCCTCGGTTTCCGCATCGGCTGTTGTCACTGGAATCCGTATAAACCTAACAACGGGGTTCCTCTAAACTT